CTGGGGATGTGTCCACAACCAAAGTACATGCCCTGACCGGAACTGAACCTGGGACTCTTCAGTCTGCAGGCTGATGCTCTATCTACTGAACCAAACCAGTTAGGGCTGGTAAAGTTTTATTTAAAGGAATGAACCTCTGCCAAATTACTAGGAAAATTGCCTCCTAAATTAAAAATCAAACCATTAAATTTTATTAGAACTGAGTGAGAACTAAAGTTCTTCTAGTCAACTGGCTTTCAGCTTTCTCCCTTTAAAATTCATTCTCACAGGCCCTGGCCAGGTGGCTCGGTTGGTTGGAGCACTGTCTTGTACACCAGATGACTGTGGGTTTGATTCCCAGTCAGGGAACATACCTAGGTTTCGGGTCCGATCTCACATCTATGTTTTAATCTCTCCACCCTCCCTCAACATATCCTCAGGTGAGGATTAAAAATAATAACAATTCTGACAGGAAGCAAAATCATGCAAGACAGGTCAGTAGTCTAGGCAGTGCTCTGCAATCATTTCTAACCCAGTGTGGTAGAAGCAAGTTCTTTAGACTACTAAATGTATACCACCATCTAAATTCTAGGCTCATAAACAAACCAAGCTGGCAAACTCCTGAAATTCTCTTGGAACTGCTAACAGGAAAAGTGGTTTGGAAAAAGTCCAGAAAAGCTCACACCCAGATTCATTCCACAGTTTTTGTAAATTACATTTTTGTAAAGAGGTAGGCAGTAAGTAAAATCTTAAAGATAGGCTTTATGTGAAATATTTTATTTCTGACCTAAGAAAAGAGTAGTTTTTGCTTATATTAGATGTTTTCAGTTCTCATCACTGAAAGTTAGTTGATCAAACTTGATGTTGCAAATTCAATGAAATTCTACTTAAAACATTAAAATTGGACTGTCAGATTAATGGGACTGTTTCCAACTTTTGTTCTTTTTCACAAGAGAATCCTGCTATGTTTGCTGTTACTGTGATAGAGACAGGAAGGCACCCTCGAATACTCCAGTGTGTGTGTGTGGGGGGGGGGGGGGGGGCTGTTTCAGATGTGACTCCCAAAGTTGTGGGGCCTGGGCTATGAAGGCTCCCCGGGAAAAAGGAAGCTCTTCTGCAAAACTGAAGAATTTGGGGAGGGACAGTCAACAGACAAGGCTGAAGGGGAAAGAGTGGTGAAAACCTTGTGTTTTGCAGGGGGATCCTTACAAAAACTCAAAATGCTTGGTCAAGGTGTGTGCTGTAGAAACCAGGAAGGGCGGAGCTTTGCACCAGATGGGCATGGTAAATCAAGGCGGCCTGCAGGAGACTCAGGGTGTGGGGATGGGTGGGCAGGCCTCAGGTTTAGAAATAGTGGGAAGAGCTTCAAATTTTAATGGGATAAGGGGCTGAACAATAATAATTAAAAAAAGGTATCTACAATGAGCACTAAAATTGTAACTAGTTGGGTGTAATTGCATTATTTCTACATGGAGTTAAATTCACATTAATGAGACTGAAAGGAAAGATCTTATTGTAACTGAGAAGATTCTGGAGAGATAAAGCACTAATGAAGATGAAAATTCTAATATTCCAATTAGTAAATAAAAGAGGTAACTCAGACTTCAGCTAATCATTTATAATTATGTAGGAAATTATTTCAAGTATGTTTTACGTGTTTCAATTCAGACTGTCTCTTTACTCAAACTGCTATGTCAAACCACCAAAAGTTATTGATCTCATTATTAAAATAGAAAATAACAAAACTTTGCTATTTTATGAAATTTTAGGTTAAATAAACATGTCATTTTTTAAAAAAATTAAGTGTATGTAGGAAAAACTGTAAGATGTCTTATTTAAAAGAAGCTTTGTAGAATATGAGATTGATTTAAAAAGGAAAATAAAACATTAAGCCAGTGTAAATGCTTTGAAGTTTAAGTATTTTCAGCAAATTGAAAGTTCTAAGTTGAAAAATAATAGAACAACAAAAGTCCTTTAGTCCAAGAGCACCAGTCTGTTTTCAATCATTTTACAAATTATTCAGTACAAGCTTAGAGAAATGATTTTAATTAAGAAAGATTACACGTGGGTATTAATGTGATAAAATATTCTGACATAATATTTAAAATCTACGTGGTGATAACAGAAACAAAGAAATCCTTGGCAATATAAAAAAAAAAGTTCAAAAGAAAATTTGATTTCTGGTGTTCCATTGTTCTACAACTCAGGGCTTCAATTATAACAATATCAAATATCTATTTTAAATGCTGCCTAGGACCAATGGCTTTGGTAAAAATCCCATGAACTATCTTAACTACTAGGTAGGAGGTACATCATTCTATGTACAATTTGGGTGTTTGATCTATAACTGTTCCTTTTTGTGTAAAAGGCAATCCATCTGTGTGATTATCCAAAGAGCATTCTCAACCCCTGAGCCTGAGCCAGAGTAATCTACAAATTTTCTAAAAAATTCCTGCATCTCTCAAAATAAATAATACTTTAGGCAATGTAAAGATTAAGTAAGATAATGTTTCTACAATGCAAAGTGTGCTTCTGCTAAAAAACTACATGGCCACACCAATGCCACTACTACTACACCTCATTCATTCATTCATTCATTCGCCCACAATGAATACCTACTATGTGCCAAGCATTATGACTGGCAATGGATAAAGCTTACAATCAGCCCTTTATCAAATATAACATATTATGCCCCTGATTAAAATCTTGATGGATACAAATTAGCTGAAAATAAATTAGAAAAAAAAAAAAGGAAGAAAGCAGAATTTCTGGCATCATGAAGGATATGGCTTTGCTCGGTTTGGATTTTCAAGCACTGATTATGTCCTGAAGGCAGTATTTAAGTTGAAGAAGAGAGAGTACTGTTAATGCCATACATAGAGAAATGGTAGGTGTCATTTCATGATTTAAAACACAAAAAGAGCAGGGGGAAACTGGTGAGATGAATTAAATTTATCCTTTGGTAAATAAATCACTTCTAATGTTTAGAAATTAAATATAACCAATTAATTATACATGAAACTTAGAACATCTTAGTTCTAAAAATTATGGACTCAAACACAAAACCAACAACACTGCCCATAGACAGATGTAGGTATAGAAGACACCAAAGCAGGGCTTCGTGGTCTCCTCAGCCCCGGGAAGCTGGTCAGGCTTATACAGCCTCGGCGGAGCCAGGACAACAGCAGGTAGGCTTGTCTCTTAAAACCCGGGACCTATCTAAATTCCTCATGGCACATGTGTCATAACAGGTCCTGGACATCAGATTTAAATATCACTGCAATGCTAATCTTATTTTCACCATCAGGAAACTGTTGCATTCTCTCTCTATAGAAGTATTTCTCTAACTAAGACCTATGGATATATTATTAAAGGTCTTCAAATTCTTGATTTTTTTTTTTAATTAATTTTTAGGATAATCTAAAAAAAAATAAATTTAACAACAGTGTGTATCTTTTGCATGACCCAAGCAACTGCATAGTGGAACAATGGTTTTATGCAGTGGTTTGTGGTCCAGCTGAGTCTATGCCAGTTGGCATCAGGGAAGGCTGTGTGATGGGAAGGCCCTGTGGTTCAAACAAGGTCCAAGGAGAGTGGTGGGAGAGCCCAGAATCATCTTTGCGCCAACTCCTATCAACGTATTAGAAATACATATGGTCATAAAATGCAAGAGAGAGGCTTTTTTATACCTGATTGTAGCAATAACTGTATCCGACACCTAAGTTATTGAAAGGCTACCTTTAATTCAATTAAGCTAACTTTACATTCAAGTGACGAAGCTTTACAGAGTTGCCACATGATACATCTTCAACGCACTCTTTCAAAACTACTCACTGAAAGGGTCTGATCAAAGATGAGGCTTGATTAGCCTAGCATCCCATTAGAGACTTAAAGGGGTTCATATTGTTTGGATACCATACTTACGCAAACAGGCATTTGTTAAGTATTTTCAAATCCCAATACAGCAACAGGTGAACCACAGAAGGAGACTTGTGGTAACATCTTTCTACTGTAATTCCCCAAATCAACAGCTAGTTCAGCAAAGCAGCACCACCCATCCCATTAAGTCCATGTTGATCTGAACTGAATTGTAATGTTCATTTGAATTATAATGGTTTTATAGTCCTATTTACATTTCATTTGTAAATTTGTTTTGATTTTAGTATGAGTTATAAGCATAAAGTAGTATATGTAATTTTGTGTTTGTGCATATCAAATAGCATATAAGCAATGTTGATAAAGAAAGCTATTTAAGTAACATTATAATAACTAGAAGCCCGATGCATGAAATTTATGCAAGAGTAGGCCTTCCTTCCCCTGACTGCTGGCACCGGCTTCCCTCACAACCCTGACCTCGTCTGGAAGGTCGTCCGGAAGGACGTCTGGTTTAATTAGCATATTATGCTTTTAATATTATAGATTTCAGTCAACCATAGAAGTCCACAAGGATTTATGTTTCTTCAAGAGATTAGGTTACATCCCTCAATTTGAGAAGCTCTGCGTTATGAATACATCAGTTTTATCTAGGATTTCAGAGAAAAGGAAGTGTATTAACATGGTTCTCTGTTGGCAGCTTAAATTTTACTTCTTTATTTGACAGGAAGTTTCTGTGTCCTTGCTTCTGCTTTATTCCCCAACTTCAAAGCTCAAACTGGAAGGCCCTCTGGAGTTGGCCCAAAATAGTGAGACTCAATCAGGAAAAGGAACCTCTTTTGTAACAGTCACTATGTTGAATTGTAATTGCTTTCAATTTTTGTCTAAACTGTCAGTTTCTGTAGGCACAGAGCAACATCAAAGCCTGGGAGGCTTAATAAATGTTTGACAAATGAAGAAACGGACTGTTCCAAGTCATTTTCTCAATTCATCTGGTTCAAAGAAAATGCATCAGAACAATTTCTTAATATAGGTATTTTAACTTTAAGAAATACTCTTATGAAAAGCTGATTTGAAACTTGTATAATTTTGATAACCAGTGTCACCTCAATAAGTTCAATTTAAAAAAACACAAAGAAGTGTATTTGGGCCTCCTGATGCTTTCCACAGGCTGTGTTCTCAAACTGATTGTATAGAAATAGGAAGCAGAGTAAAACTACCCCATATACCCTTCAGCTCAGGCCCTTTCCCTGGTCTGAATTGTGAATGGGGAGACACTGAGAAAACGTTTTATTTGCAGATATTTTTTTTTAATTTCCTACAATTTTTGAGATATTATTATACTGGAGTCTGGCAACTGGCAGTGGCAGCAGCAGCAGCAGTGGGGTGATGAAGGTGGTGCCTTCCCCTGAGCCATCAGTAGGACATCCCCTGAGGATTCCTGAACTGTGAGAGGGGGCATACTGGGCTGATGAATGATCAATGATCAATGAGCAGTCATGCCCCCCCCCCCAGTGCATGAATTTCATGCACCAGGCCTCTAGTTAACTATAAAATAATAAATGCATCAACCTAAAACAAGAGTCAAAAAGCAATATAGGCCCTAGCTGGTTTGGCTCAGTGAATAGAGTGTCAACCTGAGGACTGAAGGGTCCCAGGTGTGATTCCAGTCAAGGGTATTACCTCGGTTGCAGGCTCTACACCTGGCTCTGGTGGGGGTGCATGTGGGAGGCAATCAATTGATGTGTCTCATTCACATTGATATTTCTTTGTCTCTTCCTCTCCCTTCCACTCTTTAAAAATCAATGGAAAAAATATTCTCGAGGGATTAACAAACAAAAAAAGCAATATGGAATTAAAATGCTGCATAATTAAAAGCAGCATTAAAATGCATCATTTAAATGTATTTTAAAATCTACTAGTTCACAAAAACAAAAAGATTGCCTATCTCCCCCAAATACCATATTCTAAGAAAACAATTTTTTTTTTTTTTAATTTCTGGGTGGTACTAACCAAGAAGCCAGGAAACATTCCTAGCTTCATTCTTAAGAACTGATGAAATACATCTGCAAAAATAAACAGCCTGAAAAAGCTGAGCTTGCCAAAAAAAATAAAAAGTGTTTGTCATTTCCTCAATACTTTTCTTTAATAAAGGAGAAATCAAATAAAAGCTAATAAACTTTATATTAGGGATTGCCTCAGTGAACATATATAACCCTCCCCCACTACACACACACACACACACACAATCACACGATAGGGTGTTGGCACACAATCTGACAAATGATTAATCCTATAAAGTTTGATTTATTATACAGAATATTGCTCAATACTGTTTGCAAGTAATAATTTTTCTTCTTACTTTTTTCTATGACTTGGACCTCTTCAGAGCCCTGGAAAATGTTCTCCCTTTCTTCCAAAGTCTAAACATAAATTCTTATCAGCAGGCTGTCTAATGAGTTAAATCAATCACTGAGCCACTATTTCAATTTGTGTTCCTGCAGCAAAGAGGCTTTGGAGCAAAGAAAATCATTTCTGTTGCGTCCTGCTATTCTGGACAAAAACTCATTTCCTGCTCAACCCAAGGGGTCATATGATGATGTCAAGCTAATGGAAAGTCACGTAGAGATCAAGATCCCACAACTAAAGACAGTAAGTACACACATATGCACAGCATACACACAGACTAAACACCATTCTAGGATTTAAAAAATAAACTGTAATAACCTTTGGAAAGGAAATATAGATGAAGACTGATACATAAATTGAATATAAGACATACAAGATTAGGGACAGTACGTTTTGAACATCAGGATCAGAACTGAGAGGGAGAGAGAAGAGGGAGGAGAGAGAAAAGGAGAGTGAGATAGCTACTTTAGAACTGTAGGGAGAAAGACAACTAAAAGATTTCTTTTTAACTTGGGAGACTGAAAAAAAGACTTACAGAATGAGGGCAACTAGAAGACATCCAAGCTTGACATCTTCTTGAACTGAAAACTTACACAAAACAAATGAGGACCATAACCCACAAGATACATTTTTATGGATCTGTGTGAGGTCCTGGAACATTCTGTGTTAGAACAATTTTAGGATTTTAGAAATTCCACAGGAGAGCAAGTTGATTAGCCTTCTCTCTTTAATCTACATTTTGGCCACTATTCTAATCATGTGTTCAAGATTGCCTAATGTAAAATGCACACGAAGAACTTGAAAGCTATGTTTCAAAGAACAAACTAAAACAATACCATTATAGGACATTGACCCTCCATAATAATTAGAGAAAAAAATCCAAACTGACAAGAGGTATGGTTTATATATTTCATGTCCTACTTTGGAGTACTACAGTATAAATTAACATTTTCATTACTGCAGAGTTCTATTAAACAGTAAAGCCAGGCTACCAAAAACCTAGCAACCGTTATCTTTTAAAAAATATTTTTTTTCTTGATTTCAGAGAGGAAGGAAGAGGGAGAGAGGGAAAGAAGCATCAATGATGAGAGAATCACTGATTGGCTGCCTCCTGCCCATCCCCTACTGGGGTGTGCCTTGACTGGGAATCAAACCATGATATCCTGGTTTATAGGTCAATGCTCAAACCACTGAGCCATGCCAGGTAGTTTAGCAACCATTATCTTTCATTTAGGTTCATGCCTACATTGATATAATGTATGCAAGATGCCAGTGATGATTAATTTTATATGCCAACTTGTTTAGACTATAGATTTCAGTTGTTTGGTCAAATACTAGTTTAGATGTAAATGTATGTTAAAGATGTTCACATAACCAACGGACGCAAAACCCTGGGAGGTGAGGGCATGTATGGGAGTGGGTGGGGGGGGGCAATGGTAAGATATGTACACATATATCGATAATATCTTAATAAAAAATGGAAAAACAAAACAAACAAAAAAATGTGATCAACATTTATAATCAATAGACTTTAAATCAACAGATTGTCATCCATATGTGGGTGAACCTCATCCAATCAATTAAAGATCTTAACAGCAAAGACTGAAGCTTTCAAGACAAGAAGGAATTCTGCCTTCTGACTGCAACTTAGAAAGCCTTCAGACCCAAGACTGCAATATCAACTCGCACCTCAATTTCCAGCCTGTCATACAGATTTTGAACTTGCCAGCTCCCACAGTAATAAATCAATCTCTCTACCTCTATTGCTACCTCTACCTAAATGTAGTATGTGTTTGTATGTTTGTGTATGATAATTTATATAAATTTAAATGTATACACACATAAGTAAGAATATATTATATATACATTCTACTGGTTCTACTTCTTGGGAGAATCCTGATTAATTCAATGCCCCAAACCATAAAAAATATATATATTGTCTTTATCCTAATTATTCAAATTTTATAACTCGGGGGAAACACTATCAAATTTACATGGTTTTCAAATCGCTTATGAAATCTGCATTAATACACAGAGTGCCTTTGAATGTGCCCTCTATGGTTTACAGCTTTCATTACACATATTTAGAGTTTAAAACAGATTGCACCCCCTACAGGGGAACACTTAGTTTGCATTTCTAAATACATTTTGGAGCAAGTAAGTGAAATTTATTTACTCCTTAAGTATGGAAAAAGGTCACAAAGAGGATTTCATTTAACTGAAGAGAAATAAGTGGTACACCTGTTTCAGGAAACAAAAAAGAGACAGTGATACCAGCAAGAATTTATATAGCGCTAACAGGCACCCGGTATAAATAACAGATGCCATCTGTGAAAACTTTAAGACTCTTAGGTCTGTCAAAGCATAAAGGGTAAATTATCTTGTTTTCAAAGTGCCTTTTAGTATATTAGTTTTTAATCAAACACAATAGAGATACCATTAATTGTGACAGGCAACCTAATTAAATGAAACATATAATAATTAAATGAAACATATAATAACACGTTTTGGGTGGAAACATTTTAGAAACCTCATAGGACTTGTAAAAACAACTTTTTTGTTGTTGTTCATCCTCACCTGAGGATACTTTTACACTGATTTTTAGAGAGAGTGGAATGGAAGGAAAGTGACAGACAGAGAAACATTGATATGAGAGAAACACATCCATTAGCTGCTTCCTTTAAGTGCCCCCACCAGGTCTGGGGATTGAGCCTGCAACAGAAGTATATGCGCTTGACCAGAATCGAACCCTGAACCCTCAGTATCCAGGCCGATGCTCTATCCACTGAGAAAACCAGCTAGGGCAATAAAAAAAAAAATGTTTTTAGTTGGACAGGAAAACAATTCAACGTCATTTTCTAGGCATCGCCAACAAATAACTGATATAAATTGCAATTCATGACATGTACCTGTAATTCACAGCATCATCCATTATAAATTTAAAAAAAAAACACCTATATTCAAGTAAATAAATTACAACGACATTTTGAGCTCAAGTTCCCAAACTTAAAACCCAAATGCCTTCAAGGAGAGGGGAGTTAACAAAAATGTGGGAAGTACCAGGTATAAGGGAGAAGGAGGGGTGAGCATGCCCATCAGAAGATAAGTTTACATTAAAACACCACAATAACTGCTTTATTCCATCCCAACAAAATATATCAGTCCCAGGTTGAATTCAACAAACAGCTGCCAGTTTGTGATCCTTGAACTAGACAACAGACATAAATTGGAAAAGTAAATATATGAATTAGTAGAAGAGAATATAACCATAAATATCTAGAAAACATATTTAACTCTAAAAAAGGGGTTGTGTTTGCTAAGTACATTACTCATAATTATTGGTGTGTATTTAAGCCTAAAGCAAAGCCTATATCACATGAAAAGTGCAAAATTAGCTGCAGATGAGTATCCCTGACCTAATTATGTGGTAAAATCTGTACAGATTCAAGTCTCTAGGGAGAGAGTTAAACTCTGAGGAGTAAGGAGAACTTCAGGAAAAGAGATTTAGTAAAGGAATAGAATTATTCGGGAGAGATCACGTAAAAGGAGATACCTGGTGAGATAAAATCCAAGTCACTCCAGGAGACAGTGAGGTGGGCCCTCACTCTCTCCAGAGGCCTGTGTGGAGAGGAAAACATCCCACAGCACAATGGTGTGGCTGCTGACAGATCTGCGCAGAGCCATTCACTCAGGCAAAGAGAGGGGTACAGAGTGTGTGGTAGGAGTGGGTGGGAAGAGGAGATATTTATACAAAGATATGCAAAGGTTTTCTCAGAAACCAGGGACAGAAACAAAAACAGCCAGTTTCCCTATCAAGAACTAAGCCATCTCTTCCCCCACAGCTGGCCTATCTGCTTGTCTCTGGGTGTTC